ACAAATTAATGCTATGCCTTGATAAAAATCATGGCAATACAAATTCATTCCAGGATAGCAAACCTGTGCCAATTTAATTACTGCAAACTGCACTTGCTGATAAAGACAATAAATAGGCCAGAGTAAAACAGGGGATATTGCTTAGAAGTGAGCACTGTTTCTACAGAATACTCTGAGGTGTAAATCCTGAAACTGATTCTCAGTTTTGTGTATGTCAACACAAAGCAATAGAGGACTCTTCCCTTTGTGTCAGGCAGTATCTCAACTGCAAGATTTCTTACCTAACTCCTTACATGCCCATGAGGCTGATGCAAACAACAGAGAAGCCACTTTTCACAAGGCTTGAATAAAACACATTTATGCACAACCCAGGTGATGCACAGGTTTTTGATATGGTGATTTGTATTTAAATAAGAGTCTACAATAAAATTATTTATTGGTTTCTACTTTTTGTGTCTTATAAACCAGGAATTCAGAAAAAGGTAAAGAGAAAATAAAAGCATTTTGAAACATCACGCCCACACCTGTTTGTTCAACATATGCTTCAGGTCTAAGAGACTTAGTAAGACAACCTCTCAAAAGCAACCACTAAATTTGAAACCCTATGGCCATAAAGAACTGACCCCAGATGACACAAAGCAAATCTGCTGATCCACAGGCAGGACCCTGCAATTTTCCAATAGTGACGGGTGTTTTGTTTTTAACTATGCTGCCTTTGGTTTGCTGTGTGGCTGCTGAGATGGAAAAACAGCACTCTTTGCACTTGCTTTCAGTTCTTGCAACATGCCTTTCAACCCCTTTAAAGAGCAAGGCGCTGTACCTACATTTAGGAACTTTCCACAGATAACAAATAGGTCCCACTGGGCAGTTTTACGTATCTATTTTGTCTTCCTTTACAGAAAAAGACAAACAGGTGAGGGAGTTCAAATGAAGCTCAGAAAAGCCAAAAAGGAAACCACAGGTTTTATTTTTCTCTTCAGAGCTCATCTTTAGTAAGGCCTCATCTCTCTGCATAAGAGATATTGTGCTGTCCTTTTCTAGGGTTTTTTAATACCTCAGGTCACCCAGAGAGATTTTGTGAACTCAAATAATCCTGATGTTAACCAAAAGACGCAGATAAACACTCTTCAAGTCTTCTCTTTCAACTTTCTCAGACTTTGGGAGAGATACCTGGAGATAAGATGTTCCAGTTTCAGTGCCAAAGGTCTTACTGACAATGTGCTTTGGGAAGTAAGTCAGATTGTTTATCCTCCGGTGGCAGTTTGCTCTGTTTGGTTCACAGAGCACAAGGGAGAAAATTATTTTTCTAATGTCTCCTTCTGTTTAGCCCTCTCCCTCCAGCTTCCTAATTCTACCTGCCCAAAGAGAAAGGTCATCGAGGTGAGAACGGCAACACAGTGTAGTTATGTGAGCTCTTGTGCATCTCTTTGTGCTCAAAAACAATTTTAGTTCTTCTTTTACTTCCCTCAGTCATGAGTCTGCTCTTGAAGGTCCTAAGAGTTAAAACAGTGGCATCCTGGAGGCACTTTACCTTATGTTGCCTGTAAGCGGCCACAAAGGATTAACATTTCCGCTTGTGCTTTGTAACTGGGTCAGGTTATGCCCAGAAAGTCTGAGTGATGTAAGGCCCTTCTTTCACACCGTGGTAAAACTCCCACTGACTTCAGCCGCTTAGGAATATCACTCGTTCCCCTAGTTTTGGGGGACTGTCCTCTCCCAATACGTTACTGGCTTGTAACTGGTCCCAGTTATAAGACTGATGAGATGCACAAGTGGCTCTACTGGAGTGAATAATCCAAGTCTAATAATTAATCTGAGGAATAATTTCTGATCCTTTAAACAAGGGGTATCTTAGAACAAAGCTTCAGATACACAATCTGCTATTACAGTACTTGTAACAGCTTTATCTCAGAAATGGAGGTTCTTCCTTCTTTCAAAGAGGGACTGCATAAAGAATGTCTGAGATTTCCCTGTCCCCCTCACCACCTCTTTTTAAAAAAATCTTTGTTGTCTTAGATGCAAAGAAATGGAGGTATCTGGCTCTCTGGGCAAATTAAGAGGCACACATCAGGTTGGCGATCCTTTCTGTCCCAGTGCATATCTTGCATCAAGCCACTGTATGCCAGAGGACTGCTGTGGCTGCTGTACACATGCTAGTGTATTAAATGCACGACTGGTATGATACCTCCTGCAAAGAGTTTACTGTGGACGATTTGCTGCAAAGAAGGAAAGTCAACCATCCAAACACCACAGTAAGGGGCTCAACTTCATTTCAGGCCCTTTTATTCAGGAGGGCTTTGGCAGCGCTGTTTCAGCCTCCTTGCCAGAGCGCGGCAGCTGAGCAAGCAAGGAATGGGTACAACTTGCAATAGGTCAGTAACTTCCCAGAGGTCAATGAATCACTCATATGCTGAAGTCAACGAAGCTAACCCATGTTCAGCTAAAACATGAGCTTACTGAGCTTTGCTGAATCAGCACCTAGCTCCTGAATAAAGTCCAAGGATTGCTGCAGCTTCCATTTCCTCTTTAAAAAGCTTCCCTTCCCCTCCAAAAGGAAAGTGTTTTCTGACAACCTGACAAGCTCTTCCCCAACACGATGACAAGCTAAAACATGAGCAATAGCAGATGCACCCTGCATTAGTTACTGAATCTCTGCTACTTTAATCCAGTCCAACAGGACAGACTGGTTCATGTCAGCATGGGCCTCTGTCAACCTGTGATCTTCAGCTGACATTACAGATGCTGTCTTGAAGAACATGAGCTGCTCCTTAATTGCATAAAACAGTTGCATGAGGCTGTCAAGGACAGAAAATGGGGAAATTTAGCACCAGATTCAATGCTTGGTCCAGGGTCAACATCACTAGACTCATCTTCTAGCCACAGAAGTCCGCTTCAGCGACAGTGAGTTCGTTATGGAAGAGATAACCACAGTAGACAGAAATAGGGATTAGACAATGTCCAGCCCAAGACAACTTCTCTCAGTCTGGGAAATCCAGGCACACAAACACACCATGTGCTTTTTGGACAGCTGAATTACTATCTCTTTTCCAGACCTATTCACATGTTGAGTTAATATAAGTCAAGGAAATTCCATTATTATGCTACAAATGTATAAAATATGCTTTTGTTTAACGTGACATTTGAGTTTGGGAAAAAGCCTTTGCTCTGAAATCCAGTTATTGACTAACGCTGCTAAACACATAAATAGCTCATTCCCAAATCCTCTGCTGACCTTTTCTTGTAATTTCCGCTAGATTTAAAACCACAAGTTCAGCAGAGCTATTGCCATGAAAGGACTTTCACCAATCCTACCACACAAAGGTAGGTAACATACGCAGAAACAAAGACCCAAGGGAAAACTCCCTCATACTTAATTATTGATTTCCAACAGCTTTGCAATGAGAATGGATTTGGCCTTTTACCCTACCCTAAACAGGCATCCACCTAGTTAACACCTCTGGCTGTCGAAAGAAAGCAGATTTGCAAAGAAACTGTTTCCTGTAGCACTAATCCTGGCAAATGACTCCACATAACCTCCTATGAACTTTCTAAATCAGCATGTTATTCAGTTCCCAGCTCACCACTGAACTCATTCGAAGCCGGATTGTGCTCACAGCCAAGACGGACTCTCTAAAGAAGAAACCACAAAAAAGCTAGCAGATCTGCTAGCAATGACACTGCTGAAGCCCAGTTTGGAATGGACAGTTCACCTCGCATCCAAGAAGGGATGAGGCCTGACAGACAACCTTTCTGTGATTAAGGTTTTCACAATGGTACTCTCTCATGTGGAGTCTCTGGTGTCTATTAACACAGCTGGGTTCACAGTTCAATTATGTGAATTCTTTGATGTCTCATTATGCAGTTAAGCCCATGCTCCAGTTTTTCCCTGAGGCTCCTCTCCTCTCCTCTCCTCTCTCCAGACACTAATTTCCATGAAACTCCTAGGAATCTTAATATCTCTGATATTGCTGTAATTGTGCCCCAAACAGCCAGCAGTCTCAAGAATCATTTGGCAAGATTGAGGCTAGGGAGAAGGAAGACAAGGGGCAAGTAGGCAGTCCTATCGCGTAAGTACCTGAGAAAACCAGGTTAAACATACCATTATACACTCCAACAAATGTACACTGCAACAGCAGACGTGAAATACCATTTCTTGGCCCAGCAGAGACAAATCATACTCCTTGTTCCATTTTCCTCACTGGCCTTTAGATTATCCTGCTCTTTAAAACAATTTCAGACACAGAACTAATTCATATGGTGATGAAGAGCAAAGAAACATTTTAAGCTTGAGAAACTATATTCTTTCATTTGCTGTAAATCTATTTGTTTATTAAAAAAATCACCAGTCAGGAAAATCTCAACTTCCCCATCTCCTAAGAATCCTGGCTCTCTCTCTCTTTTCTACCTCATCATCCTGCTCCTCAACACAACTTCATGCTTTTCTTTAATTAAATTTAAAAAAAAAAATCTTAAAATTGCCTTTTGCCTAGACCTCCTCTTTTTGTTTCTACTCACTACTACTACTAAAAAAAAATAATTAACACTGAAGGCAAATACCAGTATCTGTTCTTAATGTTTTTGTATTAACAGTTTTGACAGAATTTTGTTCCAGTTACCAAATACGACCATGATTCAACCACAAATTGCACATGTTCTTTGTTGCTACTCCAGATGTGAAGTTTCATATCCAGAACTGCTAATGCAGTAATATGCAGCATTAATGGAAGTCATGTTATTACCACATACACTGATCTGCTTGCAAAACTTCAGCTTTCAAGGCCCACAATTTCAAAACACGTCTTTACTCTCAGACTCTCTGGACCTTAAGGCATGAAATCTGAACCTCTACAGTCTCTAATTTTAGATATTAGGACCACATTTAATTGCACAAAAGCTCTGGCAATTTTGTTGTTAAAATCAGAGGCTGCTTAAGAAGACTTCAGCAATACAGTACAGAAAGACAGATAAAGAAAACAGCCTGAGAAAAGTAACCAGTTTACCTGGAGTATCAACAGCATCTGAATAATAGAAGGTGGAACTCTGGCTCTGGAACGTGATAATGCATCTTCCAATTTAATGTTCAGGGTAATTATATTCCTAAAGTGCAGAAGAGCCAGCTGCCGAACCGAGGGCTCCTTTCCCTTAGAAACAGAAACAAAGCAAGATGGATTATGAGCAGTGTGAAAATGAGTTTCAAAATCCTCTGTCAAAATTCCTTCCTCCACTTCTGAGGGATTACACGAATGGTAAACCTGAATGAAAACCAAATCAAACATAACAAAGGACACAGAGCAGCCTACAAATCTGCACAGTGAACTTGATTTGGCAGTAATGAACGCTGCAGACAATGGTGGAGCCAGACTGTGTGTGACGATGAGGAGGGGCTGGCGTGGGGTGCGAGGAATCATACCTGAGTGCAGGATACATATGAATATTTTGTAATGTAATATTAACAATAATGAAATGTATCATATGTTCTTTTTAAAAAAGCAGGGTTGAATTTCTTAAGATTTTGAGTACTGGCAGGGTACTGTCTTCAATTTATGGTGGGAATCCTGACTCAGCCGTCATGTGGATCCTCCCTTTCTCCACAGTTCAGAAGACTTCACTATAAGGCAGGAGCAGAGCTGAAGTTTCATGCTGCATTTTCAAAGACATCTTTTTTCAGTTCAACAATACCTTCTCATTGAAGAAAATCCCATCTGAAGAATACAATGCTAGCTCTGCCTGCAGAGATTAACACTGCTTGCCTTATGAAGAGTTGGAAAACTGTTCCTGTTTCTGGCATCAGGGTTTTTTTCTTGGGTATATGACTGTACATATATATTCTTGCCTGCAGTTACAAGTGCTGTCAGCCAACTATTAATGCTTCTAGAAGGTCTGGTATTCAGCTGGTATTGATTTATCTTAGTCAGAAGATGCTTGGCCTGACCCAACCCCACTCCACTCCAATCATTCCTCTTCACTTTGTTAATTATATATACTGAAGTAAAGAAGGCTCCAGATCTGTTTCAATTGCTAATGAATAGAATTCACAAGAACACATAAGCACGAGCTAGGCTTTTGGATGTAACATAAAAACATCAGATACTTAGATCTATTTGAAATTACATGGGACATTGGGCTTGTACCCCCTCTAGGTTCCTTTCAAAATTCAAGCACTTATTTCCATCTGAGATGCGAGACTTGTGTTGCTAAATTATTTTCAAAGGCCTCAGGAACACAATAGGGAAAAGGTGCATTTGATGCAATTTTCAAAAACATTTAAGTGAGTTCTAATTTAGTCAAGTGCTGTGGAAAACCTGGTTGAGAGCTTACCTGTATTTCTAGGTGTCCAAATGCCTTGGATTTAAATTATGTGGCACTTAGAAAAAAACTCCCAGTGTTTTCTAATAGGTTTATAATACCATTTTATTTCTATCATTTTAAAGTTTCTACTGGTAAGACACAATTAGAAGATTGAGCCTTCATCCAAATCACATCAAATACTTATTGTGGATTTAAAATTACTGGAGTCAGATTTTATGCTCACATAAACTGGTCTAACTCCACTGACTATTGCTGTTCATTTATAGCAGCATAGAATTTGACCTCAGACATACAATTCCTTTTTGTAAGTGGAGATCCTTTAAAGACAAATTCACATTGCAGAGAAGTGCGTGCATGCACTGAAGTCAACACAACTCCACTTATTTCACTGTGTGCATTCTAACCATCCCTCCTGCACTCCACTCCTGTTTTCAAAGTTCCCCTTCATCTTTTTCACTCAAGCACTTCAAACCTCTGTTTGCATAAGTAACTCATTTGCATGACATGACTATACAGAACAGCTGCACTGGAAGGCTGGCCCAAGGAGAGTGAGTTAAGGATTGCATCAATCTGTTGATGAACCGGTAAAGTCGCTTTATCCAGTTTTTCAAGATTCTATAGTAACAGAGCAATTTTTCACCTGCACAGGATAGAAAATAGCCTGAAGCATGGGCAGGACATCACTGAAGAAAAAGTCCCAGGTTTCAGCTAAGGTATCCAGTAGTTTCTGCCCTGCAAAAACAGAACAAACTAGTGAGCTGTTTAGGCTATGATCAGGTAACTGCAAAGACTAAAACATGCAGGAAACAACGTGGATCTGCTATTACATACAAAGATGAATCATGTAACAGCTACTATTAGCCGTATGGAATTAGTATTCCTTTCACTGTATTGGATCATTCAGTATTTATGTCTTTTCAGATGACACATCTAATGTTCTCAGTAAACTCAGAGACTTTGAGGTTAAAGCTTACTTAGAAAAATCCCACGAAGAGTAAAGAATAATAGCCTAGGTTACCTCCTCCTTTTCTTGCAGTAATATCTACTGGACAAGACTGCAGAGGACAGCAGTAGGAGCAGATTAAATAAGGAAACATTCCTGCAGAGAAATCTCCCCCACCGTGCTCCCCTCTGCCCTCCAAGCTGTAAGGCAGCAGAGCAAATCATGCTCTGTGGAGACCCTCCACAAAGCATCCCCCTCAGACTGATCCCTTAGCTTCCCTGTAAGTCCACTTACATAGAAAATCTCAGCCAAGATCTATGGAAAAAAGAGAATAGTATTGTGGCTCTACTTTTTACTATAACTTTTAAAGGATGCAGTCAAAACCTGCTATAATGTGAGTTCCCTGTGGTCTTTGCAGCGAAGCCACCTCTCTCTCTATCCCCTCCCCAGCTGCAGCCACCCGGAAGCCTCGCCAGTGGAGATCAAAGAACTTCTGGCCAGGTCCCACAATGAAGTTGGACATGGGAGTTTCTCAGAGAACATTTTGTAAAACACAGAGGCAAATGCAGGAGCTGAGATCTACAAGAGAGGAAGTCTGACTCGATAGCTGAATGCTGGCTTCAAGACCCTATTCCCCAAAACAGCCTGTGTGACCATGGCCAAGCTCTTTAGCATCCCTGTGCCCCTAACCCAACTGTGAAATGAGGGCAATGCCATTGCACCTCCACCTGCAACTATCACGGAGACAACACATCATTGATCATGAGGCATTCAGACAAGACAACAGGACCTTCAGGAAGGAAATTCAATAACAATCAATCAATGTTACTACTGGTGTCAGAATCAGATACTATTAATTTTGGGTTTACAGCATTACTTAGGGTCTCAGCCAGGGAACGTTTTGCCCAGAATAGCACACAACGTCACAAAGAAACTCTGCATGAATGCATCTACACTCCAAGTTAGCCAAGTGCCAACCTTTATTACGGGATACTTCATCTTCCTGCATTTTTAAGCACATGACAAATAGCACCAGTTCAGCCCCATCTGCAACTCCTGAATTATTTCTGGGTTGATGATTTCAAGTGCTTTCAGTGACAAATGTGGATTACTGTGCCATACCACAGCTGCTGGCTTGTGAACCACGCCAAGGTCTTCATTTCTGCACCACCAGGCAGGAGTTCCCTCTGTCCTACACACTCATGCAAAGGCTAAAAAGTGTTTTCTCAGTTTCCATTTTTTTAAAGCTTGCCTTGCATTAGTTCTATTAAAACACAGCAGAGAAACAGGTCCAAAATTTCCCAGCAGCTACAGCAAGACTAACAATAATAAATACCTTTGCATTATAACCCCATATACTAGTGTCTGAAATACTGAAATCTTTCCAAGATATAAATCTGATCCTGAAGGAGAAGCCTAACCACTCTGTGCCTGGAGGGCAGAGTTTTAAAAAGAGTTAAATATTGTTAGTTGCCCACAAGTTGATATTCAGTGGAAACTAATCCCTTATGAATTTGGCTCCACATGTGGGTGTTGAACATTGGCCCTTTTCAAATTCTGCTGCTAGAATTGCACAAAGTCAAATTACCCTGTTGAGATAAACATGCCTTTACTGTCGCACACTCCTGTCAATATGTGGGCAGCTTGTTTTGTGAATTGATGGATTTCTGTACAGCACCTCAGAAAGGCTGCAGAGTTAACTTCCTTTTGCCAAGTAGGCCTTTTACTGGGGGGTGTGAAAGAATTTGTTGATCGCGAGCATCTTTCACACGGAAGAACATGTCTTGCATGCCCTTTCAAGAAAATGTGATGTTTAGTGTCAGGCAAAGATCTCTACGTAAGCATTTGCCAGATTCCAGGAAGCTAGGTAAACTCATGTGCTTTCAATGAAGCACAATATAGTTAATTCTGTATGACATAAAAATGCATGCAGTACTTTTCAGAGTGCTTCTAAAAGCTAACTGAAACTCCTGAAATAAATGTAAGAATACAAAAAACATCGTTTCAAAACAAAGGCTAAAATTTTCACAACCTCTTGCAGGATAAAACCTCTTCAAAGGGTGCTCTGAAGTGATCTTTTTCCTCTTTCGAAAACTTCAACACCAACTGGATAGAAAAACTGAGACCATGGGATTTGGGACAACTTGAGATTTGAGGGCAGGACTGCTGCTGCTGCAGAAGGGAGCCTTGCTCAGAATGGGAGCTCTCAAGATTTCCATGCTCCCAACTTTGTATTGGATGTTTTGGGAGTCATGGGGTCACTGACTACAGGATGGCCTCTAGGGTGCTGCTGCCTCAGCTGCTCGGAAACCTAAATTCCAGACTTGGAAATTCACATCCTTCAGCAGCTCCCTAGGAAAGCTGTCTGTCAAAAAGACCTCTGTCTCTGAAGAGATTCCTAAATTAGAGCTACCCTCCTGTAACTTGCTGGTTTTAGTGAGCTGACATTTCCAAGGATGGACTTGGAAAAAACATGACTGATTTAATCCTCACCTTACCAGCATTTCTGAGCATGTTTTAAGGGGCAACCACAAAATGATACATCAAATTCAAAACCAAAACAAATTTAACAGCTTGCTGAAATTTTGTATTTGCCACACATGCTCCTACATTTGAAACCCACTTAGTGGTCTCACATTTCAATATTTTATCTTGGCTTTGATCTCAAACATCAGAGATAGTATTTTTTATTTTCAAGCTAGTAAAACCAAAAGAAAAAGGGGTTGGACATTGGTAGGTCACTGCATCTAATTTGCCAATGTAATACTTAAAAAACAATTTATTCTGTGATTTATAAAGCAGCTATGAAGGCCTCGAGATCCTTACAGTTTCCTTTCTGCTCTCCAAGCTGTTGCTTTATATATAATTGAGGAGATCTGTGTTCAGCTTAGAAGAGTTTGGGTATTTTGGGGAGGTATTTTTTTAATGTGAAATTTGTTCTCTTTTTGCAGGCTATTGTCTTTTCATCAGAAAAGCTGGGTCCCATAGCACCATCTTAATCTGTTCAACTGTACTGTCAGGAATGAAAGGTCGCATTTAGGATTTATAGATAGCTGAAACTAATGGAAATGGTTGTCTCCAGGCTACTGCTTAAACAGTATATTTAGGCTAAGTGGTATTATGACTGCAGCTTTGGAAAAGGAAAGACACATTTCTTTAAAATTGCCTCAAGACTCCCCAAAGATCTGCAGACTGTTTACATGGGCAATAGTCCTTGAAGATATACCAACATCATTTCACCCTCTGATGGCATATACCTACATCCAAGATGGCATATTTAACAGCACATCTAAATGCCACACAATAGCACAGGACATGAAATTAGGATGACTGTAAAACAACACATCAGGCTGAAGTTATCCTAATGTTTACTTCCATAAGGTGACACCTCCAAAAGGTGCATACAGACAAATGGAGCCATGACAGCAAAAAAAGAGACAGTGTCTGACCTTGTTTATGAAAGCGTGAATCCAGAGGAACTCTTAACACAACCTACAGCATTATCTCGGACTTAGCCAGACACTTCAGCTAACTGCTTAGTTTTTTGCTTATTAAAATTCCTCATTCTATTTTTCCACTTATCCTTAACACTGAGCAGGCTGTAATTGAAGGAGAAGGAAGTGTCCATGCTGGAGGTAATCTTTCCTTTACTCCCTTGCTGCTGCTCTAAGCAATCACCTCTCCTTGATTAAAGCCAATGGGACCATCAAGGCAGGGCACAACAACAGACTGCAGGAATGAAGTGATACAAGCTAATCCATAGTTGAGGGAGGATCGTGGAAAGCATCACATTGCCTCCAGAATGCATTTGCTAAAACTCCTGTGACAGATATAGTTAGCCCTGCTAAAATCCAAGTTACCTTCATAAAACCGGATCTTGTCCCTTAGGATAACCATGCCTTTTGTGAGCAGCTGATTCTGTAAATAAAATAGAGATCACCTTTAGTCAATTCTGCACTTCCCCCTATAGCCACCATATTTCACGTTTTGTTAATTCTTAACTTTTGACAATGAACGGGGTCTTTTATTTTAATGATCAATCATCAAAGGACTCCTCCTTGCTTGTCCATCTTGCTTAAATCACTTGGGACACTTGTCAAACAGTGATATAATTGCCCACTGCTTTCAAGATACAGCCTGTATTCTGTGCAGTACAAAGTGATTCTTAAACTTCAAATGGCTGACCCACACAGTATATACCCTGTGTTAGACAAGCAGAAAGAATACTGCTTCAATAGATAGTGTCTACTTACTGCTAAGTATCTTTCCTGTTAACTATACTGCAATGACCTTAACTGGTTTACTCAGGAACTTAAATTTTAAGTTAAAAGAGAACGTCTGAAGTCTACTGAAAGACAGGAATGTCATACAAAAACACAGTGACCGCACAAAACCATTCCATGGCTTGGGCTTTCACTATTTAACTATA